TTTTTTTTTTTTTTGGGATAGTTTTGCTTGTTTCTTGATCTCAATGAGAACATTGCAGGTTGAGCTTACTACTCAAACGGGCTTTCTTTTAAACTTTTTCGTGTTATCTAGTTCTAATGTTGAAGAATAGGTACCGAAAATTTGAAAACAATACTAATGGTTTGGAAGGAATTAAACGTGAATCTTTTGAAGTATTAAAGCGCTCCATTGTTATGTGATTGATTTTCTAATGCAATTGATTTAGGTTCGGTAAAGAGATTCCGCGGTGAAAGCTGACATTTCTTTATTTGTTATCTGGTGACAGTGGAAAAAATTGATGCCAAAGTTGGAATTACTCTCAGAACAGTTGGATAAGCCAGACCTATGGGATGATCCTGCACGTGCAGGAATGATAAGCCGCGAACATGGTTCAATTACGGGCAAGATGAAAGAGGTTAATGCTTTCGAGCAAGAACTATTTGAACATATTGATATGATAAAGCTGGCTCGTGAAGAGAATGATGCAGAACTGGAATCGGTGGGGGCCTCAAAATTCTCTTTCTAGGCACGTATAACTAATTTTCAGTGAGATGTATCACGGAAATTAAGTTTTATGAATATTTAGTTCTTTAGTTGTAGAACATGGTTCTTCCAAATACTAATTCTACCCCATAGAGGCATTTTTCTAATAAAATAGCCTGAATGGGGGTTGTAATATTACTTGTAGAATGCATAAATGAAATAGCCATTGTATGTTTACTATTGCAGTCATATGGTCATGTGAGATAAAATGTTCGAATAGGCAATTATGTGCTATTACTACAAAAGAGTTTGTTTGGTTCTTCATGCAACACATGCAGCTTGGTAAGTTAATATGCCACTTTTAGCATTCATAATAAATATAATCTCGCAAACCCTTTTGTGGATCAAACTTATCTTTTAAGCAGATGATGGGTCGACCTTTGAGTTTAATAGTATCTTGTTTTAATTATTACTTCGATCTCAGGACTCAATGAAAGCTCTTCTTGAACTGAGAAGGCGCATCAAAGAAAAAGAGCTTGAAGCTTTGTTGGCTGGCGAGCATGACTCTTGCTCTTGCTTCATAGAGGTAAAACGTGCTTAGACTTTTGATCTCTTATTGTGATATCTACCATTTTACATGAAAGCTTTCTTGTGGATTTGTTCTGTCTTATTCTACATTCATGTTTTTAATGATAATAACTGAGGACTAGAGAATCTGAAAATCAGGGTAGTTAAAGTTACAATGTCTCCCAACTGTAGGTTCAAGCTGGAGCTGGTGGTACTGAGAGTATGGACTGGGCTTCAATGGTGATGCAGATGTACAAAAAGTGGGCCGAAGGTCGGGGCTTTGGGGTTACCGTTGTAGATGAAATGCCTGGCGATATTGCTGGAATCAAGGTTTGGGACCCTTGTCTAACTTGTTATGATAAACTGTAGTTTATAGTTTATACAAAGTATGCGTCTGGAATCTGCAATTTTATGGTGATTTGCACAACTTATTTCATCAGAAAGCATTCACTTCATTTGATGTATCTACTATCTACTAGTTTCCTTCTGTTTCAACCTGTTATTTTCAACAATGACACTATTATTTGGGAAACACATTATGGGAAACACATTATATATTTGTATATTAAAATCCATTTAATTATTCTTTAATCATATTCATATGAACTCAGTTACAACAGAAAATCTCATTACTTGTGGTCCAAAAAATATTTAATTGGCAAATTAGCTTGGCTTATCAGTGATTTTTCTTTATTTGTGCCCACATGCTGTATATATTGTTCGATTTTAGCGAGCCACCATCAAAGTTGACGGGGAATATGCATTTGGATATGCGAAAGCCGAAGTGGGTGCGCATCGTTTAGTGCGTATTTCGCCATTTGACAGCAACAAGCGGAGGCACACATCATTTGCCTCTGTGGCTGTAATCCCGATTCTTGGAGATGGGTTTTCTCGTGTTCAGATAAACGAATCTGATCTAAAGATTGAACGGTTTCGGGCAGGGGGCGCTGGGGGTCAGCATGTGAATACCACCGAGAGTGCTGTGCGGATCACTCACATTCCCACTGGAGTAACCGCCACTTGTCAAAACGAGAGGTATGGGACATTGTCTGATTCAGAAACACATTAAGAGACAAATTAAAGAAAATTACACAAGGTTTTTTTTAGATTAGCTTTTATCGTAATTGCTAAATATCTATCTTTTAAAAATTGCAAAATTACATATATTCATGTGATTCTGAAAGGTGGGTAGAATTTTTGTAATTAGGCTATATCTCGAGGGCAGCTTTCGTAAAACAAGAGAATTTGTGGTTACAGGTCACAGCATCAGAATAAGGCTTCTGCCATGGCCGTGCTTCAGTCTCGTGTGGACCAACTCGAAATGCAACGCCAGGCCCAGATAAACTCGGAGCATACTCAGTCCCTCACCGACATAAATTTTGGCAGCCAGATACGATCTTACGTGCTTCATGTACGCATTTTGAGCTTCGGTCATTAAAATGTTTTACAAAAATTGTGAGTGCTCGACCTCTGATTTCCTTTTTTTTTTTTGCAGCCGTACAGAATGGTGAAGGACCATAGGACTGACTATGAGGTTTCAGATCCCGATGCCGTCCTTCAAGGTGATATTGACGGTTTCATCTTGAGCTTTCTTTCTGTCTCCTTGGACAAAAACGATGAAGAAGACATCTGAATTTGTAGTGACTAATTTTCCTGGCATCTTCAAGTTTGTCAGAATCGTTTGTAAAATTATTAGGTGAATGCATGGAATTTGTGACAATAAGATACATCCTTTTTTTTTTTCCAACTATCTTTTTGAATAGAATAGAAAATATATTTTGATATACATTATGTTTGGGTATTTCAATATAATTTGTTTATCCACGACTATTTCTAAATTTTGTTCTCAGAAACAACAAATTCTAACAAAGTGGAAAGCAAAAACCATGATATACTGCGAGGATAATATAGTTCTAACTCTCAAAACCTCCTCACTATATCACATACAAAAGCTCACAAACAAAAAGAATGGGCTCCTCAAGACCGAAACCAACTCGCTCATAAGGCAACAACCGATTTGAAACAAATACTCTTCCCACAACTATGAAAAATGAATCCCGGCCCTATTGAACAACGAGAGCAGGTGCATGAAATCCGCTTGCGCCAGCTTCGATGACCTCTTCTCCTCAAACCCTCCACTTTTCAACACCCCCAAAACCTTATTCTTAAAATCCGAACCCTTCATACCATTGTTGTTATTATTATTATTATTATCCCCATCATCCATCTCCATCTCGTCATCATCGTCACCATCATCGTTACCGTCGACGCTCATTCCCCCGAGCGTGTCCCCTAATGCCGACACACAAGCAGCCATCTCTGCATCATCGTCCTCTGGGCGACCATCGGGCGCCAACTGTAAAGCTTGCAGCGTCTTATAGTTCTTCTCGAGCAACGAAAGCACATTCTTTTGCCTGAATATGGAGCCTAAAGTTTTGTTCTTGCGGTTGAAGCAGATGCGGACGAGTCCATCCCACTCCTTGAAGTTGACGGGTGGGAGAGGCTTTCGAGGCTCGATACGGACCACGGACGAGTCAACCTTGGGGGGTGGCCTGAAGTTGTTCCTCCCAACTTTTAGCAAGTGGTTGACTCGGGCAAGGAGCTGGGTGTTGACTGAGAGGCGACAGTAGAGGGTGTCCCCTGGCTGGGCCACGAGCCGCATGGCGAACTCCCTCTGGAACATGATGACGGCACACCTGAAGAGAGGCCGGTGGGCGAGCAGCTTGAATGTCAGGGGTGATGAGATCTGGTATGGGATGTTGGCCACACAGATGTCGAAGTATGGAAGGTCGCATTTCAGGACATCTCCTTGTATCACCTGAGGATAAAATTGGTGGTAAACAAGTGGGGCTACAACTAGTTACTAGCTTTTTTTTAGAGCACTCGAGTGAGATTTGGATAAATGGCTTCAACTTGATTGCCTTGCCCATTCCCGCAGCAGACAATCTTTCGGCACATAGTTTATAAACAACATATTACCAACTATCCTTTTCTGTGCTCTTGTAATAGAAAAGCGGAAAGACGTGAACATACAAAACACCCATCATTTATGCAATCTGGTCAAGACTGTTTATACTCATATGGTAGGAATTATTTGCTAAACAACCAATTGTCTCAGTGTTAGCACCAACCTTGTCGTTTATATGCTTGACTAACGCATCGTAATCTTACAGTTCGATCAAAATGAATCCGAGTACATTGACCTTACTCTCCTTTTTCTATGACTGTGTTAATGTTGTATGCAAAACACTATTCAGCAACTCAGAGTTAATTTCATTTGAGAGATGTATGTAAAACACTATTCAGCAGCTGGTTAACTTCGTTTGAGAGTGCTGACTCCAAAACTAAAAACAAAAAAGGATAAACCAACTGCAAGAACACGGGCATGCCCAGCTACAGACAATCTTCAATAACAAATAACTCAAGAAACAAAAAGAGGATAAAAGTATAATCAACTGCGTACCTTCAATCGGTTCGAATAAGGGGTTCCTTGGAATCGGCGTTGCAGCTCGAGCACCATACGAGGATCAAGCTCAACGGCGATCACGGACTTTCCGGTTTCGAGAAGCTTCTTAGTGAGATTACCCGTGCCGGGACCTATCTCCAGAATAACGTCGGTAGGTTTTATGCCGGATTTCTGAACGATTGAGTCGACCAAGAGAGGGTTTTTCAGTATGTGCTGGCCTTTCGACTTGTGGAAAGAAATCCCCCCTTGAAAATGATGATTGGATGCCCCGGCGCCGCCTTTCTGCGCCCGCTCTTTCTTGATTTTGCCTCCCGCCATTGGTAGTGGCAGCCTGCAATATGCATTCACAGCGCTGTGTTCTGGGGGGCGGACGGTGTATAGAGAAAATGACAATCTAGGGTTTTGTTAATTGAGATAATTCCATTGTAGCACTCTGGTGTGCTCCAATCTAGACGTGGTCAAACCCCGACTAGGGGTCGGAATCATCATTTTAGAACCCGGAGTTTGGAGGAACTTGAACCGATCCAAACATGTTCATGGGCCGATTGAGGGACGGTTCAATCCAATTTCGGATTGGTTCAATGGAACCCTATTCGAGTTTTT